ACCATGTTTATTTGATGTAGTGACATCTTCAACGGCCGGAGTGGTTAGAAGTAAGTCAGGAGGTGCCAAAGAAGCTGGCTTTGTGAGACAGCTTTGTCTGGCCTCTGTCTGTTGGCCTTTCAGGCATGATTGGATCTACGGCTGTGAAAAGCCATCCTCTGTAGCTCATAGGGTCATGGAGGCACGCATTCCATCACCACGTCAAGGTGCAGTCTAGTAGCGATGGTGATTTTCCCCTTCATGTTGAAGCAGATCAGGTGCCACCACCGTACAAGGAACCGCAGCGCGCCTTGTTGGCAGTGGCTGTTACAGGCTGGAGAAAGCCACGTGGAGGTCAGCAAATGACGTAGGACGAGAAATGCGCAGAGTGATTAGGTAGAGTATGTTTCTCAACTTCCGAGTTGGGGCCCAAAAGACTCCAAAACCGCATGTTTGGAGATACTGAAGATCATGACTGTGAACCGACAGCAATGGCGATCATGCTGTCACTTCTTATCAGACCAGAATGCTTGAAATTGTAAGTATGCACAGTCTGTGTACTCTGTATTGACCATAGAGGTTCGCTTTCTTTTCCCGTCCCTAAAAATAGGCCCAACCCCTTCTTACACATTCTCACTTATCTTGTATGCATTATGAGGTTTGGCAGCGATCAGTGAAGTTCGCTTCAATGTATTACGCTGTACAATGATGATGATGAAGGAACTGAAGCATTTAAGCAGTGAGGGTGCGCACCGATAGGTAATTTTATGAGGAGGACTTGGATGATGTTCCACGCTCGTGAGTTTTTTTTCTGATAACGCTGTTCTGTGTTTTGCTCCAGTTAACGTTATAAGAAAAACGGAAAGTAGCAGACAATTTTTGGATACTTACTTCAAACATGTTGAACTAATGTCCTTTCTGTTCGACAAAATGGTCTGTCGTTGACTTTTTCTACTATGATTCAATGATCGTCTATGTGTTCGATCTTCAGCTGCCACATTTCTACTTTCCCCTCCAGATAACGGATCGTGGGAACTGATGTCCAACGTCGACGTCTCTTCCAGGTCACATGGAAGACTTCCACCGGCTTCTAAAGCGGAGTGCGAAGTCATCATGATGATCGGTCTACCTGGTGCTGGAAAGACGTATTATGCCGAGAAGCTGCGACTCGATAACCGTGAAAAACAGTACAACGTCTTAGGAACCAACTTGATACTAGACAAGATGAAAGTAAGTGTTTCAGTGATTTCAGTTGTTTATTTCTGTTATATCCACCGGATAAATTGAGTAATATATCCTGGTTGCTTTTTATAGGTCATGGGCCTTGCACGCCAGCGCAACTATCATGGTAGGTGGGACGTTCTCATCGACAAAGCGACCAAATGTCTGAATGTCCTGATCAGCATCGCGTGCATGAGACGTCGCAATTACATATTGGACCAGGTACGATCCCCAGATGTGAATCTTTGATTCCTTTTCATTTTACTGTAAAAATGTCTAAGCTCCGTTGCTGAGTATATCTATTTTGGTCATGTGCAAATTTCGTCTGGTTTTCTACGTGATCTGTTCATGCGTCTGATGTCATCCACTTTAACTGCTAGTGGCCCTAGATTCGTCTTTGATTAAGTCGTCACCGGTTTCTGTTTTGAGGTCTGCCTTGTAGGGCCTGAAAATTTTGTAGCCAATGGAAATCTGATTCATTGTTCCGTTCACTTCACATTACCCACTGACGATGATAGATATCATGCAGGTTAATCACTTGCTTTGTTTTTCAATGTGGCTTGCATCTGGATTCGATCAAACATTCAATCTGCGCGTTCCATTGGCATCCCATCGAAACTGACCGCCCCGTTTTTTCTCATTCGTTCGGTCTCGTCTCCTGACATAAACACAGACAAATGTCTATCCGTCAGCACAGCGTCGTAAAATGCGCCCGTTTGAAGGCTTCAAACGTCAGGCCATTGTTATCGTACCCACTGATGAAGAATTCAGGCGTCGCATTGCCCAACGGGAAAAAGAGGAGGGCAAAGAAGTGCCTGAGAGTGCGGTTCTCGAAATGAAAGGTAGTTTTTCTTTGTTCGGACGAGTGGTATACCGTACTGGAAATTTTCCTTGGGTTGCATTAGCTACAAGTCATGCTGTTTGGTGATGCGATTAAGCCGATTTCTCAAAGTCTGATTTTGTTGAACACCATATCAACTGCGTTCTGAATCAGTTTTTCAGATGATACATTTTGACGAATCACTTGTTTCCACACAATCGCGTGTCGATGTCGCCGACCCTTTGACTGATGGGATATTTTGATTTGCTGACCTAGGTCATTACGTTTACGTTTTGCATTTGCGATTTCCCGCCACGAGAATTTAGTGTGATTATACCACAGTCATGGCATTCCAGTTTGTCAGTCACTCGAATCGCGCGGCGCAACTAATTTGTGCTGCCATGATTAGGACCGTAATGATGTAATCGGTTGAATCATTGTCTTCTGAAATGCTCAATTTTTGTGACTTGTCTCTATTACTTTCATTATTCGCTTTTCGCTCGTCAAAAGCGACTCGTACATCATTGTATCACGGCGTCCAACATGACTTCCTTACCGATCGACTTAAACGGTAAATCAATTTGCATGCATAATGTGAACTGTTTTCTTCGTTCGTTGTCCGCGAAACGGTAGAATGTGTGCAAAATCGATTGCATTCAAGTGATGTAGCAGCTTGTTTCTCGACCCTTCGCTATTTCTCATCGATAACATCTTAATCGACACGTTTGCATTTCTCTTGTTAGCCAATTTCGCTATTCCGAAACCTCTGAGTGAAGATCCTTCTAGTGTCTTTGACGAGGTGATCTTTTCCGAGCTTGATTGCACCGAGGCACGCAGTTTGGTGCAAAAGTACAACGAAGAGGGCCAAGCAAACCGTCCACCTCCGGAAAAAAGACAACGCTGGGAAAGCAACAGCCGTGACCACGAGTCCAGTGGGTCTCGAGATTCGAGGTACTATGGTGGTTACGACCGAGATCGTGATCGAGATCGTGATAGGGATCGTGAGTATGGTCGTCGAGACGACTACAGGCGATCTCCAAATCGGCGGGACGACCGTGGTAGAAGAGACTATAGGTGAGCTATGAACTGAAATCGTTGCATTTTCATAACGCCAGAATGAGTGATTGTACTAATGACGTTTCATCATCTGATTTGCGCTTGCAGGGGTGGATATTGTGCTGAGCGTGATCGGAGTCGAGAAGGAGATCGATACGAGCGAGGTAAGTGCAAGCTTCTACAAAGTTATCCGTTTGGTGAAACATGTATATTCTGCGACAACCAATGCAAACCTTCTACATCGTCTTCGTAATCTAGGTGTAATCTAATAACCACCTTTGCTCGAAATGTAGGTCGGGATCGTGATTACGGTCGTCCCCAAGGAGGTCGTTTCGGAGGTCCAGGTGGTCGTTTCGGTGGTCCACCAGGTCGTGGTGGCTACCCACCTGGCATGGCACCCCCTGGATATATGGGTTACGATGGTCCACGTGGAGGCGGAATGATGATGCGCGGTGGTCCAGGTCGTGGTGGTCCTCCGGGACCCAATATGGGTCGTGGTGGCCCTCCTGGTCCGGGTATGGGTCGCGGTGGATATGGCGGCCCTCCGTTCGACCCCACTACCGGGCCTCCCATGGAATACCGTGGCGAAGCCAGGCCACCTCGTGGGGGCCGAGGTGGTTACCGCGGTGGTCCTCCTGACCACACTGGACCTGGTGGTTACGGGGGGTCAATGGATTCAGGATATGGCGGCCGACCAAGCCGATTTGACAGTCCCAGCGGTAAACCGGATGGTTCGGAGTCATATGCATCCGGAGCCGGAAGTGGAACTTCCAGCGGAAAGGATGGGCCTGCAATGGACGGTAAGCGGCACCTTTTCATTCACAAGAAGTTTGTTGCATAAAGCGATTAGGTAGAGTAGGTGTCTCTCATCTTCCAGGTGGAGAACCAAAAGATTCAGTAACCGGAAGGTTGGAGACTCTGAAGGCTGCGAACCGACAGCATTGGCGATTTTGCTGTCACTTACCGGACCAGAATCCATGAAATAGTATGTATGCACAGGTGGACTGTGTTGACCATAGTGGTTCGCTTTATTTTCCCGTCCCTAAAAGTAAGTCCCATCCCTATCATCCTTAGACATTCTCACTTACCTTGTATGCAATATGGGGTTGGCAGCGATCGGTGGAGTTCACTTCACTGTATTGTGCTGCACACTAATGATGATGATCCAAAAAAGAAAGTTTTAGTCATAAGTGGGTTCCAGTTTTTAGTAGGGAATCGGCAATATCTATTTCGAAGTGTAGAAACCTCGAGAACAAGGTTTTTCACAACGTTCTCATACACGTCGCACCTTCATATCAACAGTGGAACTTCCGGTATCTTCAATCTGCCGTCCAGATCAGGTAAATACCAGGTAATGAAACGTGACCACAGTGTAATGGATAAACAACTAGAATGCTTGGATAACTGTTGCCTCCAATATCGTTAAATAGTGGTTTTACGGCGTGTTACGCTCCACCGTGCCTCAACAGTATGAGGATGCAGAGTAAATTTGTTTATCCAACTACGCTGTCTTTATTTGTTCTATGGTGTCCTCCACTAAACAGTCAGCCCAGTCTTTTGCTGACCTTATCTGATGTGCAAATGTCGTTTCGGGCTCAGCTAAGCATAGTACGAGAGATCTGCTCACGGGCTGCGTTCGGCTTCCTGGTTGGGGGCCTCAATTTCATTACTCCATGGATAGACACATTGATACAATAGACAATGATCGCAGACAGTGCCACTCGTGCATCTTGTGAGTTATTACAACCGGCGATCTCTTTTCCTCTTTGACACTGCTATCAACATTGCATTCTGCCTTCTACTGCCATCTCAATAGGTCGCCAAAGGCAGCTACCGAAACCGCTGCACGAAGTGCCTGGCTAATAGTTGTAAAATCTAAAACTCGAAGCTCATTTTCGTTTCCGAAATCTGGGATGCTTGACGGTTGCCTCAATGCGCCGTTCCTGCTCGAGGGACACGGTTGGAAGGCCCTTAAGGCTAAAATCTGATGTTTCTAGGAGAAAAATGGCAGAAGTGACATTCAAGGTTTATGATTACAAACTCTGGAGGGCAGCATGTAGCGGGTAAAATGTGGCTTGCTCAATCGTCCTGCCTCCGCAAATCCTAATGCCCCCTCTGAAAAACTCAGTTGCTTTTGCTAATAGAACCAACAATCTTAAATCCGACGATTCTTTCTTTCTTTTATACCTGTTAATTGTGAAACTAGTTGTTAGTGGTAACTCAGTAGTGACATTTTTGATTGAATTGATACGAATCGCCTGATGTTTCCAAATATGGTTACAGTTAATCCTCCGCCCCGCAACTGGACTATCTTATCGACGAATTAAATTAATTATACGAGTCACATCTCAGTTCCAGTCGTTGTGATTCCATGTGAATGATCCAAGAGATTTTAGTGCTTTTCTAACTGTAACCAACACAAGTTGCCTTTTTATCGTCATTTTGACAGGGCCTATTCGCCCTTGGTTTATATCCTTTGTGTCGGTCATAGGGCTTGGATTTCTTTTCCGTCCCTTGAAACGATCGCAATCCATGTCCATCTTATTTTCGTTCTTTGTGTACATTGGTTTGACAACGATTACCAAAGTGCGATGATAAGGATGTAACATCCACGAATGCTTCCTATGCACGTATGGTCTCGTGGTCTCTATCCCTGCGCGGATTCGAAGTTGTTTGTGACTACTGTCAATAAAAGCAGACGGGTTTGGTTGGCGCTGTCTGACGGCTCAACATGTCTTAGTTTCGATTAATTGGCTCCGAAAGTTTGACCGGAATACTATGGTACGGAATTTTCTTTTATCTCTTAGGTGCTCTTTCATCAGGAGGATACCGAGGCGGTTATGGTGGACCACCGACACGCGGTTCTTACCCTGCTCCTGGAGGTCGGGGTGGCGGTAACTTCGGCCCGGGTGTGGGTCCCCCTCCAGGTGCGCGGGGCGCAATGAGTGGTCCACCCCGTGGAGGTCAAGCTGGTCGAGGAGATTCTGATGGATTTTCGGGTATTCGGGGGTCATCAGTAACCCGCGGAGGTCGTGGCGGTCGCGGTGGATACCAAGGCGAGGCGGATGTCAGTGGAGCGACGGATTCTTCACAGTACCCTCGATACGGAGCCACCGCTCCCAATAACTATCAAAGTGGCCCCGGTGGGTATCCAAGTGACGATTACAATAATCGAAACCGTGATCGATATGGGACCTCTGCTCCGAATGCATATGCGGGATCAGGCGCATCAGGGAAACCGGAGGCGTCTGATTATCAAGGATCATCGGGTTATTCTGGCGGTTATCAAAAAAGTAGCTATCCTGGTGAGTCAGGCTATTCCCGAGGAAACAATTTTCCGGCGGCATCAGGCGGTTATTCTTCCGCAGGCCCGGGGGGTTACGCCGGAAATACTGCGGAGTACCCTCCTAATCCTCCTGGTGCATCTTATTCTGGTCCTGATAACTATACTTCAGCAAACGTGAGACCACCCAGCGACTCTCGTCGAGGAAGTGGACCATCTACCGCTAGCGCTTACGGCTCCAACGAATCAGAAAAATCAACTTCGGGTCAGCAAGGTCCATCAGACTCAAACAGTTTGTATGCTTCCGGGTCGGCGCGCTACGGAGATGGACGATCTGCGCCCGGGTCTGGTCCACGCCAATCACGTTTTGACGACAAACCATCTAGCGTTCCTGCACAGCAACCGTACTCCAATTACCCGCCCGGAAGTTATCAAAGTGGTTCATATGGTACGTACGGCGGAGCGACTAACCCCCCAGCCCCAGGCGCACCCGGCGTTCCGCGCAGTGGACGCAGTCGTTTTGACGTTGGTCCGGGCAGCGGACCGCAAACATCATCCACCGGGCCCCCAACAACAGGGTCCACTGCAACGGCACCATCTATGACTCAACCAGCTGCATCGATACAAGTAAGCCTCAACCACTGTGTTTTGCAGTTGTTAACACGTCATTAGTCGTTGACTAAAGAATATGGCTGCTTATTTGGATTGCATTGGTATGGTGGACAGTTGAACGGTAATGCCCGTAATCAGAAAAATCTCATTCTGATCTGCAACCTATTCCTTGTTATTTGAAATGGCGATTACATTAAACACCTAGGATGATCACGGTACCAAAGCGGCTGTTAGTGCTGTGAGAACCTCCCACAACTGAATATTTGAGCCATCATGTATTCATATAGTTGCTTATCGTGACCTAGCTACTAGCACACACCAAAATCTCCGCATTTTCAATCTAGTTGTTGGCGGCAGATTCGTATTTACTCGCCTTTGTGACGCATCTGTCTCCCTGATTCCGAACCGTATGGAAACCCATGTTCTTGTTTTCCTTTACTGCTGTTTCCTTAATTGATCGAATTACTTGTCTGAAGAAAACAATAGTTTTGTGGGCCGCAGAAGACCAACGGAATCCGATTTCAAAGTTAATTTCCCTCCATTAAGGTTACTATTTGTGTTTGCAGTTAACGTCTCAAATTGCGCCTTAGCGGTTCGAGACAGGTCACAAAACTCGGTAATTAGTTGTAGCTACAGTGCAATCAAATGCAGAAAATGAAGGTCTGTTGCTTTCGATATAATGATGACATGTGTAATTGCTCAATGTGCGAATGACGCGCATAATGTTTGCATTCATCCTTGCCCTGAAATTTCGGATTGCTTTGAACTCTTGCTTTCAATTTTTTTTTCTTAATCAGTCTTCCCAGCCTTACGGTTACAACTATCCACCGCAAACAACGAAAACGGATTCAACAACAGGCCAAGCTGGTCAACAACAAACCGGTTATCCTTACGGTTACGGTTACAACTATGGATCATACGGAGCGCAAGGGTCATCAGGTGCTACTGGACCGCAGCGATCAGCCGGAAGCACGGGTACCACTCAGTCGCTGTATGCTTCAGCTGTTGCTGATAATCCACAACAAGGCGCAGGAACACAACCCATGGCTTCAGATCAGTCTTCGATAACAAACGCCGCTTATGCCTCGTACTATGGCTATGGCGCCTCAAATACAACGGGTTCAATGGCACCATCCGGGACGGCAGGACAAACTGGAAAATACGATGCGGCTATGGCAGCTGCGCAACAGTTCAACGCTTGGCAACAGCCACCGACTGCTCCAGCAGCTCCAACAACTGCGACTACGGCACCCCCAACTGCACCAACACAGTCCGGACAAGGTACAGCAGCCGCGGCAGCTGCGGCAGCCGCGTACGCTGGATACTATCCGGGTTATGCATCATACGGAGCAGGGTATGGGGCCGCCGCTCCCACTGGAGGTACAGCTCCTGCAGTAACTTCAGCATCATCAGTACCCCAGTATTATGCGGGATATCGTTAATAGTTTTACTGCATTGGACAATCGCATTTTCGGCCCATCGTTGCGTTCGTGACTCTATTCGCTGTGACCCTGTCTTGTATGCGAGCATCAGTGGAACGTATACAAATATATTTGTTGCACAACAACTGTCTGTAATTTTCCTCAAGCATACAGCTAGATCAAACAAAAGTTATTCTGTGGTATGCCAGTAAATAGGGGCTGCGGAAACGGATCCGAACCACGCCATCTGTTGCCATTCGGGCAGGATATCGTTCGTAGTGTCCGGGAGATTGGTTTTGCCGCTTTCTTTCTGTTGATGTTTGTTTGCTTGCTTCCGGAAGTTCTCCCATCTTGCATCGTCCGCGTTTGTTGTAAGGAATCGGGAACCGTTCCCTACGGTGGTTTCCAGTCGACGCAAATCGCACCAGCAGAGGTAATCCTGAAATAAAAATTACGGAGACGTTAGAGATTTCCATCTTTGTTTTTGTTTCGATCCGCTTCACCTAGCTGTTTTTATTTGTCTTTGCGCAAAATTTACTGACTGGTGCGGAAAGCAGTTGTTAAGATGGGTATTAAGAACCATGTGCTTGTTGGTACCACTCGCCTTTGAATGCCGAAACGAGTTTGATATTTGCAAGTCTAATCACTTCCATTTTGTCACGTCGATCCTATGGGCTATGAGGATTTGGACAGACTTGATATGAGATAGTAGTTTTTAATGTTTGTAGGCCTAATAAAGATAGTGCTTTTCGTATAGTAGATATATTGGAAAATTTGATAATCTGCGTTCAAATTTTTCTAAATTTCGGTACACTGGATAAGTGTCCAGTGCTTCTGGTTCGTCGAAGTTGTCGAAAACTAGTCCAATGCTTTCTGTACAGCTTTCCGCTGAAGATGCCAGACGAGCTGACAATCGATACGCTAATCGCGCATACTCCACGATTTTGGTATTAGGCTCATTGCGGGATTTCCTGACGCTTTCTGTTACATTTTTTAGGTGTTTCATTCATCACAAATAGATTCTTGCGTTTTAAGTTTGTCCATTTGTAGTGTTATACGTCACTGAGCGTGTGCGTGGTGCCTAGCTGGGGCGCAATAGATTGGGCGGAGCGCTATTACTGCAGGTTGCCGTCCACAGCTTTCAGATCTGAGCTGACACTTGTCATCAATGATCTTTCGGCAATGGGAAGTTTTGTGGTCGGAAAATTTCCAGACTAATGTGTTATTCACGGGCAATGTTTTTGTGGTTTCTGGGGTCTAAAGTCATTGTTTTGAGCAGCTTGCAATCAACTTCAAAGATGTTCTCATCACGCTAATTTGTCTACATTATGAGTTTGTCAGCGGTCGACGAGGTTCGCTTCACTTCGTCTCGCTGCATGACGATGGTGGCGAAAATCGCCTGAATCACTCGGGTAGTTTTTCTCGCGATTCAGTTAGACAACGTTAGCGGGCAATAGTGTCGTCTAAAAGTGTTCCTTCAGCTTCCTTAATGTGAGTGTGAAAAGATCAGTGCTATCAGTCTGGCTTTGTAGCTCAGCTGGTAGAGCATGCTCGTACAAAGCGTAGGCGGCGTCCATGCGTGGGTTCGAATCCCACCGAGGCCACTGAACTTTTCACAATCGCCATACATTCTTGCGGCATCATTTTGCACTTTGAAGGTGCACATACCAAATGTGGCAACAGCATTTGTAAGTCTATCAAGTGCACTTTGAGCGTAGTCCATTCATTCAACTATATGGTCCATGTCATCGGCGTACTCTAAATTGCACAGCTTTTCTCCAGCTGCCCATTGAATATCTACGTTTAAGCGACCACTTACTGCGTTCTCCAGAATCTCATCTACGACGAAATCGTACAGGAGTGGCGAAAGAAGGCACCCTTGACGAGCGCCGTTGCTGGTTACGAACGGCTTACTTAGTCCCTTGCGGACTGTCATTTGACCGGGGTATGTGAGTACAGTGACCTCAAGAGGTTAACGTACCTTCTGGGACATTCCTTTTCAAAGAACTAAGTCGTAGGCTCCTTTCAGGTCAAGGAACACTGATCGTTGATCGGCGGTGGGTGTGAAGCAGCTCAAGGACCTAATGCAAAGTAGTAATTTGATCAGTACATTCACGGCCAGGTCGAAATCCGGCTTGCTATTCACGGATGTTAGCCTCTGTTAAAGGAATCAGACGTCGAATTATGATCGAGGTTAGCACTTGGGTGGTGATCGAAATCAAACTTATCCCACGAGAGTAACTCTCCCGACTCAATTACTGGTTAACTTTTAAGCGTTTGGTCGGAAGAAGTATTCCTTTATCCTGGGGGTGAATCGTTAATCGTTCCGATTTTCAAGAAAGGATGACGAAGCGGCTTCGTGAACTACCGTGGGGTAAGTTTAGTTCCCCAACCACAAAAGTTTGAACTCCTGTGATACTTCGCCGTCTGACTCTCTTAAGGGAGATGAATATTCGTGAATAGCAAGCGGGATTCCGTCCAGGTCGCGGTTGCATCGACCAAATCTTCCCCATGAATCAAGTCTTCCGGTTGCATCACACGCCGTCGATCAACAATCGCAGTGTTGACCTAAAGGGAGCATTCAATTCGGTTGGCCGTGAAGCACTTAATGAGTTTCTGCCTCAAAGGAATGCCGCAAAAGTTTGGGAACAGATTGGGATCATTGTATTTGCATGGTCCTGGCAGCAAAGGGTCTACGATGGTGTGAACAAGACGTTCGAAACCGAGAGCGGCGTTCGTCACCATTTCCGTTTAATTTCGTCGTAGACGAAATACTGGAGGAGGCACTTGGTAGTCTCCAAAATGTTGGTTTCGAATGAGGGTGCACTGACGGCATCGTTTGTCTGTTCGAATGTATGGAGGACGCTCAAAGCACACTTGATAGACTAACAAGTGCTGTTGCCACATTAGTTATGTGCTTTGCACCTTCAAAGTGCAAATTGATGCTATAAGAATGGGTACCATCTACCCCGGTTCTGATGCTTGATGGTCAGAAATTAGCGATAGTGAAATGTTCATCCTACTTACTTATAATTGCGTGACAAATGACGGCAGCATAGCGGAGGCAACCACCCGCATACCTAAAAGCACGGGCAGTGTACGCAGGACTGAAGCACCTTTCGCACGAACATGATTTTCCTTGAAAGGGAAGGTCGCGTGCGCTGTGCCACTGTGCGATCAGTTCTGCTTTACGGTTACGAAACGCTAAATTTGTGCCTGGAAGACGTTAATCGGCAAGTGTTCTTTAACTGTCGATATTTACGTAATTTGGTACCATTTGAATTGCACAAGCGTGTAGACAATACCAAATTGAGCCTTCGGATAATTGGCAGTGATTTCATGAAGAATCCCTAGTAGTAAACTTCGCTGATTCGAACACGTGTCGGTGTGTCCAGCTGTCTGCCGCACCGCATCTTGTTTGCAGTTTCGGCTCCGGGTCGGAGAAAATTGCTTGGATTTCAGCAGATGACGTGGAAACGAGGCGTGAAGAACTGCGCAGAGAGATCAGGTAGAGTAGGTGTCGTCCGTCTTCCATGTTGGGATCTAAAGTCTCTGTAGCTGGTTGGTTAGGGATCCTGATGGATATGGCCGCTAACCGGAGTCAGCGGCGTTCTTAACTTCACTTCTTATCAGCTCGGAATATTTGAAAAGTGAGAGGGTATACTAAAGTTTACTCATTTAGGTTGTGTACTTTGTGCCCTGACCATAGAAGTTCACTTCTTTTACCTCCAAATAGGCCCAGTCTCTGTGCATCTTGCAGAGTCTCTTATTCTGTGTACATTTTGAGCTCGGCACCGATTAGCTAAATTCGCTTCATGGTATCTTGCTGTATAGTGCTGATGGTTGAAAATGCTTGGTTAATTACTTATATTAGGCTCTCTAAAACTTCCATTTCAGGTCGGTAGGCGCTATCCGACACGATAGTTCCCGTGAGATGCCCCCTTAACGGATTGCAGAATAATTCTTGCCCGTTACCTTCTTTGGGCGGGGGAACGTAAAGCGCAAATCTGGGGTTATAACCTGGTTACTGACCGATCGACAGCTAGCAGGACTGCGAGACTGGAAGCAGTTGTCCGAAGAAGAGGCGTACATGGTGTTTGCAAATGTCGTCGACTTAAATTTAGCGATCGAGTTTATTTGGCTTCCTGGACGTACGAAAGGTGTCTCAATCGTTCAAGATTTGACCAGTTTGGCAACGTCTCCAAATAAGCTTCGATACCCGCGCAGCTGTATCATCACTCGCTTCAAGCTGTGACCGAGTTAAGATTCTGACTGTTAATATCCCGAAATCTGGTACCAGGCCGGTGTTCTATACTTCAAAACTGCTATCAAGTTACATTGCAAGATCCACTTAACCCGCAAGCGATTGCGACGAAGTACACAAACGGAGATCATACTACTTACTTGGATACGACCAGTGTGTTTCCATCTTTTGTTCAGTGATCATAAAATTGAGGTGACCGCATGGTGCTAGAGCCTGTTTGCGTAAATCGTGTGCGCGCCTTTTTTAAAAACTGCTGCTCTCCTTTTCGTGGGTGGTGTAATACACCCGACGCCCGACCCAAATACGTAGATTTATCCAAATTGACTTGTTTTCCGAAGCATCTTGAAGACATTTGAATCGCTATATGATTAGCGTCATTGGTCAGTTTCACACCCTAGATTCAAGGGCCTATCCTAATCATCAAACCTGTCCGTTGTCCCTTTGTTCGATTTAGATACTTACTTCTTTTTCGGAGGACAGAAAGCAGGTTGTTCACAAACAGTTTCAACTGTGATCAGTGACAGCAGCAAACGGGTTTATTCACCATATGATAGGTCCTTATATAGGATCGATTAGCCGGCGTTTTCTAATTGTTCTTTGCAGCTGAGTGGGGTCTATGGGTTTGGTTTTCTTTGTGTTTAGTAAAACCACTGAACGATATCATCGCCCTCCCTGGAAGACAAAATGACTTTTAATACCGCTATAAATATTTTTGTTGAGCTGAATTTCTGGTCGATTATCGTGACTCCCTTGAACTGTTTGGATTATTTTGCTATTTAAACTTGAAACGGACGTACCTGCATCCATATATGGTTCAAACTCTTCTCAACCGAGTAACGTTTTCTCATGCGCACTTGGAGCAGACGGGTGATCAAATCGGTAGCTGTAAAAGTAAATACGTTTTCCGATCGTGAATAAATATTGGTCTGAATTACAAGGTTAAAAGACAAAAACGAATGAATTCTGCTAAAAAAGTGAACAACAAAGATTGCCAACTTTTACTTTCTTTCAACAGACGGATCTCTAGATGTATTGATGGCAACTACAAAATACAAAATCAGTGGTAGGCATAATTCCCCTTTGGCTATGAATTCGTATTTTTCTACAGGGATGATAGACCGTTGTGAAGACGGAAATTCGGTCAGGTATGTCACTGTCCGAACCACTACCAAGAGTTGAACTGACACCTTGAGTGATTTAGTTGTTGAAAATGCCGTTAAATTGGGTCAGTCAGTCAGTTTTGTTCATTCACTTTGATTCCCACTGTTTCACCTGGGATTGGAGATTTACTGATTGCCTACTTGCCGAATAGACTATCCTCTATGCGTCCTATTTTATGGTATTGCAGTACCCATGCGTGATTCCATCTGTTCGAAATCCGCATATTGGTCTACTCCTTAGACAACAGTTCAAAACTGTTAATTCAATTCACTTCTGAGGTCTCCTCCCAGTTGCATCTATCACCCATAATTTAACTCAAACATATTGACAGGTACTATTACGAATATTGTTTATCCCGTACCTGTTCGAAAGTCATCGATATATTGGTTATCACTCCATCATATACCTTCACGAAAAAGAAAAAATAGCAGAACATAGCGAACGATTCAGGTTGTGCTGATCATGAAAAGAAACATTGAGTCATTCTCAGACGGTCCATGCCCCATTGGGTCACAGATACTTGAATATACCCACTTCTTTTGTACTTTTCTTCTCTTTCGTTGAATACGAACTTGCAAAAATAATTCTGAGGAAGAAGCGAACAGCCAACAGTTGATATGTGATACCGAGAAAAGGGGGAGAACAGTAGGCGGTGATGAGGTTCAACCAGATGACCTCCGAGAGACTGTGATGGTAATCAGCACCGCCTAACCACTGATGCCGTAGTTGTCGCGTTGCGAATGATGAGGCCGGGGGTATAGGAAGTTTTAAGCATGTTAACCACATGAATTGCAAGCTTTTATTCGTGATTCCTGTCAGAGAGTCCAATTCCGGATAGGATGGATATGGTGACCCTAGATTACGGGATGATGCAAACCACGGGACGACACGTTACAGCTACTGGACAACGAACGATTGTGCTGACCAATCAGAGGCCGTGCGGCCCAGACAGAAGCTACACGATGCCAAGAATACGAGCACGCGATTGGTAGATGTATGGGCAACCAATAAACATCGTTTGTACATGTTTAATCCCCTTGATTTCCTCCAATAAATGAACTACTCCTGTGGCCTTTCCCTTGCGTCACTGTTAAATGGGATACTGTCGTGCAAGTGCCAATGTAATTCAGTGCTTATGTGGTGTCCGTGATTTCTGATACGTGATTCTCAATTCGTGACCAGTGCGTACTTGAACCACTACAGTTACCGAGTGTCTCCCTTTCAGCTCAAACATACCTACTAGTAATGCTACGGTCCAGTGTCATCCTCGTCCTCCGAAACTCATTCCAATGCGCGCCAGTGCATTCACACACATGCATGACGCAGTATATATGACGCATCTGAAAACACTCCTTACTGCATTCGTATTGGTTGACCTTTTGCCCCTTTATCCAAATAATTAATGTCAGATGATGCGTGAAAATTTGGTAAAGCTGCATGTTCTGAACCCTGTGTTCCGTTTTTTCTCTCTCAGCGTGCCAACTATGCATTTTCGGATGTCTAGAGTATAAAACCACCCACCACTGTGATAAAGTTAATTGTGTTTAAAGGTTCAATATCACTCGTTCCAGGGTCGAGAAAGAAAACACCTGGATGGTCAAGCAGAACATTCAATAGGTTTTCATACTACTTCGAAAACAGACTAAATATGATGGGTTTTCTCAGAATTACTTTAAAATGTTCAAAAAGAAAAGATGAAGTTCCCCCGTGTTGAATGTATAATATGAGGCAGTGCTGAGTGAAGATCCAGGTGAGTTGCGAGCTTCCGTAGATGGTTGTAGCGTAAGTCTGGTTGTGTTTGGTCTGCATTTAATGCCTTCAAAGGGTTGAAAGCTGTAAAAATGAGGTTGGTTTGGTTTCCCTACTCTTGCCTGGTGGAAGAATCATGGTAAAGTTTTAGCACGTATATATAAGAAACACAATTTCAGGCTGAAATTGTGTTCTAAATACGAGTACGGGCATATTTCGAAATTTGTATGTATAAGGCTTACTATCTATCTACAGATACTGTGATGAGTCAACCCTCCGAGATGACGCCGGCCAAGCGGCTGCTCGTTCCAGTTTCCGGACATCGGACCATGGGCTCCAATATCGACTAATCAACGGCTAAACAGTTCAGACGAAAGCCATGTGACATGAAGAGCAAGGACCGCGGTTGGTTGTTGTCCGTTGGACGGTTTGTGTTTCGTTTATTACTTTAATTCATGATCCATGATGCGTGCCCATAGCGATTACTACACATACCATTGACACGGCTGTATGCTGCAGTTGTCCGGATAATTTTTATGAGTAGTACAGGACCACAGTCGCTAAGGGAGAGAGATAAAAGCAGACTGCCGCTATTTAAATGCGACTGTTCATGCCACCATGGTCTGATGGGATCATCAACAAAAAAATTAATAGGGTAGACGGATTGCTGTCGCGCTAATACAGTTGCTTGATCAAAGCAAATAGTGAGTGAAAGAGGACCAAAAGGGGTCAGGCAACCTAACAAATTTTCAGTCTGAATAGGCATATTTGACTGGCTTCACAGTTCCCGTTTTAAGTGCAGCGGAAAACATAACCACCGGCGCTTATGGGACTACCTGCTAGAGTTAAAGTCAATCCCACGGATCACAATGATTCCTCAATATTTTTGTGGACACAATCACTGACGATGTCCCTAGCGTTGTTGGCAATTTTTGCGTGTGGTTGTCTCTAGTTTTTGCACGTCTAATCGCAATCTAAAAGGTAGCGGAGTTTTTCCATACAAGTCAGTGAGCATTAGGTTGTTTCATTCCTTTCCTCTGAAAAGTCTTGATGAATCGATGGAACGGGATAAAATACAGTGACTTTATTACTAACCAGTCACATTCGCCGGATCACAGTGCCGTCGCGGGATTTTTGCTGCATTGTATAGAGTGGACTGATGTCCATCGAAAACCCATTACTTTGCCCGATACAGCAGCTACTCGTCAGCGGCTCCTTTATCCAGTGAGCCCTAAATCGTCTCATTCTTCACCTTATCATCTATCTGGGGATTCAGTAGCATGCAACTCCGCCTATTAGACACGTACTGACTACCCTAGTTGCAGATCAGAATATCTCTGAATGAGAGTGTTCACCAATGATTATGTGGTTTCAATATGGCATCTTTATTGCGACTCATGAACAAGATAAATCCAACGATGAAAGGACTTGATCGACGTTCCTGGAGTCTGTCAAAAAGTGTTCTGGATTAGGATTTTATCGATTGTTTTATTGTCCTAAGAATGATACAGTTGCAAGATCCGTCTGAGAAGAGATCCGTCTGAAGACGTGGTAAATACTCAGTTTTTAAACACCTACTTTCCGATTCTACTGTTATTTCCTGTGGAATTTGATCATGGCGTGCTTCATTTCATTCATCTACTTCACTCGGCCCATGGTCAGGTGATTTGTGACAGGTGAACAAAAAAGTCAACTAAACAGGGCACATGTCAAACAAAATACACGCCATCATGCCGGATGAGAATGAAAAAAAAACGGTCAGCTTATTAAAAGCAGCAGACGAACTTACCCTCTTCTGAAATCGAATCCCAAGGTTGACTTGGATACATGAACTCTGCATTTTCGATTTGCTCGGCAATATCCTCTTCCTCGTTGAAAGGAAACGTTCCGCTCAAACTGCAGATAATAAAAAAAATAAAATGTTTGTCCACTGATGGATGGGATGTTTTTTTGACATAATTTAAACAGTGTTGCAACAATTCACAGTTCATGGCTTTGGTTTTTATTGACTTAGTCATGCACGATTGTACAATCATTGTAGTTAAAGTGGCCAATCTCTGAGTAATCGGGGATCAGAAAAAATTGAAACGAAGAAGATTTCGTGATGGAAATTCAATCAAAGAGAGGAGAGGAGGAGCAGTGTGCTTAGGTTAAAAGGGTCGCGCCATTCCGTGAGAGAAAATGGAAGGGAAATTTAGGGCTTATTGTTTCTGGGATTTGTTCCCGGCGGAGGAGAGGATTACATGGCGATCAACAATCAGCTGAGACCATCACCGGGTTCCGGTCAAAGGTTTTTCGGTGCATGGACTGATTTCTGTTGCACATGCACACACCTGCACTGATGAGGCATCTAAAGGCACACGCTAACGGTATTCGCCATTTCCATCGGGATTGAACATGTTTGTTAAGACCCCGCAAACGATGATGAATACGGAATGGTATGTCTAGTTTGTGCCTTGTTTCCACTGGGTCGGTTACGAGTGAGCGTGAAATAGTTGCATTTTCCCCCTTTCTGTTGGCAACCATGGGGAACCACGTACAAGAGCCTTATCACTCAAAATGTCTGAAGTGCAAAACTGATCTCATCATGTGATTTCCTGTTGTATTGAGTGTGCAAGTAACTATGCCTATATTTCAGTCAAAACTGTGTTCGCCTCTACCGTAGGATAAAACACCGGTAAAAATTGAACAAAACATCATCTCCGTAGATTTAAGGTCAGTTCGCTTCAGATCATGTGATGATCCAGGCCTACACGATGGCGCCTACCCTGGAGCGGCGCGTAACAGTTTCAGGACATTGGCGATCGATCAAGTTTGAATGTTGACGTCAATAGCACGTGCATAGCTTCTGAATACACGTCATTGGCGGATGGTGCCAGCTAATCCAAGACAATGCAGACAGAAGGAAGATTATGCAAGCAGTGCTGCAATCCAATTGGTGGAAGCCCTGGTAGCCAATAATCTTCTTTTGTACATATTATTTAATCACCTTCATTTCTTCCAATACACGAACTACTTGCTGCCTGTCCTCTGGCCTTTTCCTCGCGTCTCATTCTCGTGGGACATGGCTTCTGCGATCCAGTCGTGATAGCCGATTATCGATTTGGGTCCTGTGATTCCTATTGCGTGGTTGGTGTTCCGAATTCCGTGCCTATTACTACTACTACTTCGACAATCGTTACAGATCCTCATCTTATGAGTTAGAATACGAGCCATGTGGGGTACTGTGGAACTACAATAAATGTTTATACGGGAGGTTGAACAGGGATAATTGGATTGGATTGTAGTGTGAGAACTGCAAGGAGATAGTTCGGAATTGGGCGGAAGACTGGGATCACAAAATACCTTGTGAGAGAAACTTTCACATGAAGTGATATGAAAATCACCCAATTTTTGTGATTAGAATGTTTATGAGAATGAGAAAAACACGGCTGATAGTTACGAAACCGTGATTAAGAGTAAAGAAATCCTTTTCAAGTATGTCTTGTGTTTGTCTTCATCTTTTGTACTTCCTTTTTACAGAATATATGAAAAGGGTAAGTGTTGTGATCCTAGCCGAAGGGACAACGCCAGCCACGAAGCGGTTTCTGTATAAAGAAACATAGGCCAATCGTGCTGATCAATCAGAAGTCTTGCGGTTCAGACAGAAGCTATTTGACATCAAGATTACAAGCAGGCCTTTGGTGGAGACCTGTATAACGAAACAACTTCCTTTATAAAAGTTATTTAATCTCTTCGATCTTCTTATGCGGCCTTCTTCCTGTTTCTCGGTGACGAGAGATTCCAGCGTACGATTGCTAGTGCAATTCTATGCTTCAGTTGCGACCGTGGTTCGTAATCCTTAATCCATACCTACTTCGATTTCTGCAGTAGGCCACTGATGAATGTTGAATTTTGAGAAAGCACAGTATTCGGAAGGACTCCGGAGTTATTCACCAACGGTTTTGAAATATGAGCATTTACTTTCGTCCTTTAAATCTTTATTGAGAAATAGTCTTTCAATCACGACAATAAAGTGTTGGAACAACCGAATGAATGTAGCTTTCGTAAAACACAACCAAAAGCGGTAGAACAATCAAGTAAAAGAAAGCAAACGGATTTTATGGCATTGTCTGAAGATTTACAACTAAATTGCATCAGTGATGGGACAACATCCGTCTTTGTGGCTTATACGTAAATAGAAGCGGGTCATTGGAAAGATTAATAGCAGGTCGCAAGCGGATGAGAATAGTACGCTCGTAAGAATGGGAACAATGGTGAACGGTTTCAAGGATTCAGAGATTGAACATGTGTATATGGATTTATTAATAAGAGATGCAAAATTCTCTGTGAATGAACCAGCGCCATAGTTGAGCATAGATGAAGATGGACCACCTGGGCCTATTGCATTCGTGATTTTCGTGGTTTTGAGAAAAATTTAAAATGATTTAAGGTGTTTTGAGAGGGACCTTGTTTGTGACTGGAAGTGGTAAGAAAGACTATGAAATTCGACAATGTTGGTGTAATGATCGTATTAGTAGTAGTAGTAATAGTAGTAGTAGTAGTAGCAGCAGTAGTAGTACTGCGGTAATTCAGGCCTACGAGATGACGCCTACCCTGCAGCGGCGCGTCAGTTTTCGGACAATGCGATCAATCA